TCGACCATCAGAGAGTTCCTCTGCAGTGAACATATGCATGCCCTTGGCATTCCCACGACACGCGCCGCTGCTGTGAGTGTTAGTTTTGAAGACAAAGTCATCAGAGACATCAAGTAGGGTCAACCCGAGACTTGACAAGTAGCGATTCACTACAGTTACGATGGCAATGCGAAGCTCGAGCCGACTGCTGTCGTTGTTCGTCTGGCAGAAACCTTCCTGAGATTTGGATCATTCGAGATCTTCAAATCGACTGACTCCATCACAGGTGCCATGATTGGAATTGTTCTTCTCATGAGAGAAATCATATTTCGTTGTTCATAGGCCGTGGGGGTCCAAGTGCTGGAGACACCGCTCTACTGCACAAGCTTGTGGATTTCGTTATCAACAACTACTATGAGGCTGAGTGCGCCGACATAGAGGAGACATCCGTTGAGAAAAAGTGAGTATCACACTCATCGACGTTTTGACTTTTTTCGAGACCAGATGCGAGAAATTCTTCCAAGCTGTAGTCGAGAGGACCGCGAAGTTAGTCGCAAAATGGCAATGCGTTGGATTTTGTCATGGTGTGCTGAATACCGATAATATGTAAGCTGCTTCTGATGTCCCTTCTGACCACTCAGTGTCACTTGCAACGAAGTGAACTGTGTTACAATGGAGCTTCACCCTAGTGATATGAAAAACACTAGTGAAAAAAATATTTCACGGCTACTGCATAGCGCCGCAATTATCGCGTTTTTCACAGAGTATTACGCCACTTCACGTTAAACGGGTGAAACTCCAATGATAGCGATACAAGTACTTCAATTGAGGCATAATACATGCCGCTATCATACATATAACAGAGAAAATCAGAGACGCATCATCCGCTTGCTTGACGGTGGCACTTTGGTCCGCCTGATCAGGTCAATCGTGGGGGATACTATTGATTATGGCCCTTTTGGATTCATTGAAGCCTTCCAGAGAGACTACATCTGCAACACTAGTGACACGTAAGAGCTCTTTGGCTCGTCGATCACATTCGGAAGTGTCAGGGGAGGCCGCTACACCTATGAGGCTCAACCTAAGATTTGCCTCTGGAATTGCACCAAACTAGCTGAGTCCTTGGCGCCCATACTTGACCCTGGAAAGGTGCGCTTCGCTTTCGTTGGTAGCTAGACCTTATGCATACCTATCGCATTATGTATCAGTCAACGGACATACTAAGGAGTACGTATGGGAGAGTTTTCATGAAAGAGTATAAGCGCTTGATGGCGATGAAGCTCGGCTTGGTTGAGGAGCGCGAAGGTGACGGTGACCTCGTTGAACGCCTTCTGGACACTATGGAGAATACGGCGGCAGACTTCACCAATACCTTTAGGTGAGGCTCTCGAGCGCAGTTCCTCTCGCGTTATTAGTATA